AGGATATATCGGGTCCGCCATAATGAATGGCTGTCTCATTCCGGACTGGATATCTCCCTAACCATACAAGGTACAGAGTTGGTTGTTTTTTCATTCGATAGAGGCTGAAATTCTCTACAGAACGATAAAAGATTCGAATAGATTCTCTGTAAAATTTTCCACTTATATCATGAAAAGTAAAGATATCCAAAATCTCGTTTTTTCAAAATTCCAAAAATAGGGGCAGCCGAAGAAGATCTTTGATGATTTAAACGAAACAGTGGGGCTGCGTATAATCGAACGGTGGTGCAAATTATTTCGTGAAACTGGCTCAGTCGATTTGAAAAGATCGCCCGGTCGTCCACAGACGATTCACACAAAGATAAAGAGAAAAATGAACAGAAAGATACCGCTATCAGCGGCAAAATTGGCGGTTGAGATGAATCTTTACGAAACTACTGTTCGGAGAGTACTCAAAGAGGACCTGAAACTCAAGCCGCACAAAATGACAGTTCAACCTTCGCTCACTGATCAGCACAAGGAGAGCCGAAAAGGATTCGCAAACTGGATACGAACCAATTTTCGAAAGGAGGATACGATGAAAATGCTGTGCTCCGATGAAAAGATGTTCGACATAGACGAGGCCTATAATTCTCAAAATGAAAGAATTTGGGCTGCTAATCGTGCGGGAACTGATGCGAAAGTATCCACAAAAAGTAATGATCTGGCTTGCGATCTGTTCCCAAGGGGTTTCTCCTTTGGTCATTTTCGAGGGCGGTACAGTTGATCATGATCATTACATAAACGAAGTGCTTCCGGTTGCTCTTCAATATGGAAACAAGGTCTTCGGGACCCATTGGACGTTTCAACAAGACGGTGCTAAGCCCCATACCCATGCAAAAACGCAACAATGGTATGCAGAAAATTTTCCTGCATTTATAGACAAAGACCGATGGCCTGCCAACAGCCCGCATTTAAATCCGCTAGGCTACTCAATATGGAACGAGTTTGCGTCTCACATTAACTGGAAGAAAATCACATCGAAAAACACACTAATTGATGAACTAAAGCTGGCGATTCATAGAATACGCTCAGAAGTTGTTTCTGAAAGCTGATCAAATTGGACCGTTCGTTTGTCCCGCTTATCTACAAACAATGGAGAATATATTAGTTAATAAAAAAAAGTACCATTTTGTAGAATTTCTTTTCTCTTTCGATGAAAAAGAAAGGTTTAAGGCCGAAAACACACTAGACAAATTAAAACTGAATTAAGCATCGTGATTGGTTAATTCAGATTTAAATCATCTTTTGAAGACGAATTAGTGGTTAATTCAGTTTTAATTTGTTTGGTGTGTTTTCGGCCTAAGTCAATATTATGCTCCATTCAAGAGATATCTTAGCTACAATGAGACCGCCATTCATTATGACTGGCCCGATAGATGTCCTAGCATGACACGCCCTTAATTCACCCCAAGAAATACAATAGAAGAAACAGTAAATCTGAAAAAATGAGTAGCACATTTTGACTCTTGATATCATCACCGAAGAACAAAACGGAAGTGTTTTGAATCATAAATATTAAGAACAGAATCTGCTATAAAGCACTCACTTTAGACAATAATGAGGACGAAAAGCATTCATTTCTTCGTCTAGATACCAAACCATGTGGCTTGCTTATCGTCGTCGAAACCGTTACACAGAGATCATCATTGATTTATTTTTTTTCCTGTATTGTAGATTTGTTCAAAGAGTAGCATTTCTCTTAAATAGTGTAGTTCGAAGGTAAGGATTTGAATGCGTATGTGATCAAAATTTTATTGATTAAACACTCAATAAATTAGAAAAGAATATCTGAATGTTTTTTTTCAATTTGGTAGAACTATCATGTTACTTATAACTATAGAACTAGCTGCTGATTAATACCATACTTAATTATAAGAATCAAAAAGTAAAGAGTAAACTAATAAAATATCGCGCTTAAATTAATCAGAATTAATACTAGTAGCTTCAATCGTATTGAAAGTATTTAAATATAACCAATTATATTTATTAGGTGCATCCGATAGACGTATTCTGTTAAATTGATTAAAATATTCAAAATATACTACAAACAGTTTCTATTCTTAAATATAATAACAGTAATAGAAGAATAATTTAACTGAAAATGGTGAATTGAAATATCTGAACATGCTTTCAAAGTTTTCTAAGTCACATCCAAAATATGTGAGCTCCACATTTTAGCCCCAATGGGGCTGCGCTGAAAAGCTTTTTTGTTAAAATTTTTGTTCGGCGAAGTTGGAGTCGACGAAAAAACATTCGGCGAGGCTCTACTAATTCATATTAGGAAGCTTTTTTCTATGACTTCCCATTCTTTATCCAAAATTTCTTCTAGGAGTATGCTATTTATTTTCTTGATCAAATAGCATACTGAATCAAACTGGCTTAATTGTCGAGCATGAACATTGACACTATGGAATTCTTTAATAAGCGAGAAATATATAGCGATTGACATTAAAAACTGCATGATCACAAGCAAAAATACTAGTTTACTTGATAGTGTTAATGAATTGATTGATATGGACAAAAAAAAGGAATTTTTCGAAGACTTTTTTTTTAACTACATATTTGTTAACTGTTGATCCATCTCTTATTTCGAAATTTTTCACATCTACCTTTTTGATAACTTATAAAGTGCTAATATCACCAAACAAATAAATGCCGACATATTTGATTAGGAATCGCCCAATTCCAAGAAAGCGGTGCGTAAATGGCAGTTTTCTGTCTGCTCTGAAAAAAGATGAAAATGAATGCCTTGTTATACCGTTTTATGGCAATTTCAGGCCTTTTAAGATGTCCGTTCAGACAGTTGGGATAATCATCCTTGGTGGTTGAAAGCTATCAATAAGACGAACTGATTGGAAATCTAGCAAGAAACGACGAAAAGTCTGGTAGCTCACATACAGACATTTATAAGGGATTCATTGAAACGTACATATCTGTTAGTCTAGACATAAATACGAATAATTGGAAATGTGCGGTCGACATTGTTGTTAGTATTCTGCTAGTTTTCATGTAGATGTTACTGTAGAGATGAGCGTGATTATCATAGAGAGAGCTATTGTAATTAGTTTTTCTATCCAAAAGCTTGTGTTTGTATACGATCACGAGAAAATCTGGCGATCTTTGAGTAGACAATCAATAAAACACTTGAATAAACCCTCATACAGTTAGAATTATCATTATTTGCACTGTTTTATTTTTGTTTTGCAAAGCAGTCTTTGTCTGTTTGCGGGAAAGTGACATGGGCATAGATAAGATGTTGGAAAATGAAGATAATGTGCTTATCGACGTATATGCTGCAACGCACAAGATCCACCGATAAAACTTCTGCTTTTGTAAATCAACACCTTTGAGAAATATCGTTATCTGTTTTATTGCCTTGAGATATCAAATGCGAGGTCGAATATGAATGACGTTTTGTGTGATACTTGAAAAAAACAATTTTTGTTTAGGAATTGTATTAATATTAAAAATCAAATTAGGAATTTATTCAGTTTTACTGTACGTGGAACCTTGGAAAAATCTGTGTTAATGGGAAAAAAGTATGATACACCTTAAAGTAAAAGAGAAGAATTCGAAAATTTCTTTTACAAAGACGTCTTTTTTCCCATTGCAGTCGCCGAAAGTTTGTATGAGAGAGATCTTTAATTTCTTTTGTTATTTTTCAGATGTTGTGTAATACGTTTTTTTCATGGCTTTCATTCTGATTTTGCCTCGAGCACCAGCTAGGAAGAAGAAGAACACGCAAAATATTTTTGTGAAGGGGAATACTGTTTAATTTTGTTAATCTTGTTTTTTAGTTGTAAAAAGCATATGAAGAATAATAAAGGGTCGCTATTCGGTAGTATATTTTTCAAAAAAACTTGTTAGGTTCGTAAGTATAACACATCTTTTCTTAGATCTTTCGATAGTTCTTCCAGAAGATTTATTCTGCTCATATACTTCAAAAATTCAAAAATCGTTTATGATCGTAAAAAACGTCACAATGACATAAAATTTTGCAATGATGAGGGTGTGGGTGGAAAAGATTTATTATTCTTTAATTGAATTTTTCCTGTGCTGTGACTGCTTATTGTTGACAAGTGAAAATATTTTTTTTCCTTCTGACCAACCACTTGCCTATTCTTGTTAAGTCAACACACTCACTGTTTTTTCCAACACATGAAAGAATCGCATTCGCTTTCTTACCTAGAGCATCTGAGCAAGAAGCTCACACCGGGCACACATATTGGTGAGAGTTCGAATGTTAAGATTTATATCATTTTCCGTGTTGGGTATGAGTGAATATGTATCTTCTCCAGACTCGCTTATGCATCAAAAGCTACCCAACTTTAAGTTATTTTTTCAGTCTCGATCGTTTCTTTTTTTTCTCTCCTTATCAAATGCCACGAGCACACAAATCATCAGAACGAGTCGACAACAAGACACAAAAGAGGCTTTTTTTAACCAAGTAGAAACGAATTATTTTATTTCTTTGCCTTTGTCGCTCCAAAATAAGGCCAAAGACAGAATTACAAACTGTACACCAACATATAGTTGCACTCGATTTACCGTTCTTTTTTCTCTTTAGACGAAGCTCATTTGCGTTTGTTATTGTTCGCAAGCAATCGTAAAATCCTCGAAAACCAAAATCACTTTCTTGATCGCAACATTTTCACGTATTATCAAAGTAAGTGGACAATATCAGAGACTTAAGATTCTCAAAGGGAAAGACGTATCACAGTCTAGCGCGAGCTGTTTCTCTTGGTCTCTATACTATCAGTTACGTTACATTTATCACAAAGAACACATTTATTTTTGAGCACCTTTTTACCGGTATATTCGAATCATGCGCTAAAAACTTTCAAAAATGGGTGTGGGCGTGTATTAAAAAGTGATAAATACGCCCACACCCACACGCTTTTCCCTTCAGCTATCTTGAACATTTCGTTTGTTTTTTATTTTATAGGACGAATAGCATCATGGCAGATGATGATCCCGACGTAAAACATTTAAAGCGATGTTTTCAAGACATGATTGCAATTGTTCATCAAACAGTCGAACAGCTACGACCCAAAAAATCTGATTCGGAATCGGATACTTTGTATGCTAACACGGTATTGAATACAGGTGTCTTTACATTTACATTGAATAAGAATGACGATGAAGAGATGAGTATACTTAGAACAAATCTAGAAAGTGCCATCAATAAACATCGACCACACCTCTCTAGCATATGTCAGCGATATCTTTTAGAGTTTTTATGTCAATATCATTACGATGACCAAGATAAAAAATTCACCGATTCGTTTACCATGGAAAGTCTATATCCATTCGAATGTGCCCTTGAGGGTGCGCTCACATCTATTGACACTTTTGTAGCAGCATGGCAAGGAAAGCTAGCACCTGTCAGAGATTTTATTAAAGATTATCCAACATTCAAAGATAAACCAGGTCTTCACGGCACAACTCTTTTATATTCAGCGGCAAAAAATAATCATTTAAGAATCGTAAAATATCTTGTTGAACATGTGCAATGTGCTGTTAATGCTCAAAATCTTCAAGACCTTGCAAAAGCATTGAGTGGAGCGACAGTAAAAGGAGGAAGTGGACACTTTAATGCAAACCCATCGGCTGCTTCTACAGCCCTGCACGGTGCATGCTTTGATGGACATTTGGAGATTGTCGAGTACCTGATCGAACATGAAGCTGACTACTTCATTTTGAATCAAGCTCACGAAACACCAATTGAAAATGGAAAACGGCATGACAAAATTCGAGAGTTTTTCGAAAAATTTTTAATACTCGGCTATTCTCAGATAAGTAGAACTTTGCCCGAAGTACCTATCACAGAAAAGACAACAGTAACAACAATGTTCGATTGTATTTGGGAACATAAATCTCTCTCCAATAACGAATGGCACTCTTTTTCGGCCGATGAATCTAAGGAACTGAGTCAATCCCTGATCGTACTACCTGATCAGGAAATGAAACGCGACATTTATTTAAGTGTGCGCTCTGATACCTATACTGTTTCGCTGATTCGGTTTCTACGATCGGGTAAAAATCGTGATCCAACGAATAATTTGGCATGGGTTCGTTGCCGTGGTTCATCAATTGCGAACTTCGATTGCTATGCATTGTGGCAGATTATGATCGTCGAACATCCAAATCTAAAGCCGAATGATTTACCATCATTAGAACCCGTTGAAGTACCAAGAAGTTATGATAGCCGATTTCAGTTGCAGCTTAACTGTTGGTATAATTGTACGCCACAAATCAGTGCAAAACTTGATCATGCAATTAATTATCGACGGAAAAAAACTCCATTAGATGTTGACTTAATCACTAGTGATATTCTGGAATTTGATTTACAATTATTTACATTTAATAATGAGAAAAAAACAGTAGTCGGTTTCATAAGATGGCTACCGAAGTTAATTTCGAGAAAACAACAAGATTCAAGTAGAATACGCGCAATTGATAATTTTCAAAACTTAGCTAATGCAGATCCTATACCATTTACTACAGCAAGACTTAAACAACTATCACAACCTAGTGACACACAGTCAATTGTGAGTGAAGATGATGCGTCAGTTGATGGAGATTTAGACAGTCCTGTGGCACAAACACTGATGAATGTTGATGAAGGAGACGAAGATACTTTCATCGCTCGCAGAGAGGTAAATAGCCGTGTTCTATTCAAAATTCATATATACGACGTTTTATTATCTGAGAAGGATTTCATTGGAACATAAAAAGTTCTACTGAAAATGTCATCACTAGTCATAGCTTACGAAATACATGATTTTCGTAAGCGCCCGCAAAAATCGTATGAAAAATCCACAAAACAAAAATATACGGATGTCACGAATAAAATCAGCATAATCAAAAAAAGATACATGATTGTTTTCGCTGGAAATCCTTTAACAACAGTTGTGCTTATGGCATACTCATCGAACTTTCATTTGAAAAACTGAGTGCACAGTAGGCATGTACCAAGCCCCGGGTAGACACCGAGATTTTTCAGTCTCAGCACTGCTAGTAACGCTTGTGTAAAGCATTGTAATATGTAGGTATACTGAAAGTAATCTCCGTTACTTGATGCTGGTCTCGAATGAGAAAAGTAGATTTTTTAGAAATGTTCTAATTTGAGTCCTATTTGGACTGGCTGATCGAATATTTCGAAGCAGTTCAAATCATATTACATAGAAAAAAGCAAAGATTAATAATAGAATAACATGTTTCAAGTATTTTCCGGTAAATTGAGTCAAAATCGATTAACTAGTGAACTGTTAAGAATAACCTTCAAAATGCGTCTCATCCTCAGTTGCGTCTATGTTGAAGCTTGAAAATTAGTAGAATAATTGAAGAGCATATGATAAATGTAGCCGAGCTTCGTCTTTACTCGTTTTTATAAAGAATTACACTACTATCGTGTTCAAATATTTGCCGTAAACTACGGCCGAAATATCCTGATGAATATTTCGGTAGATGTCCATGCTGTTGAATATTAATCCTATGCATGTTGCATATCAGAAAAGAAAATGTAAAAGTTACACAGACTACATAGAAAGTAATAGCATGATATGAAATCAGAATCAGGGACCTCACTGATTCTTACAAGTGTTTCTGTGAAGAATTTTGCACTATTTCTGGACAATGTATGCAATTTGACATTAGTAATATTGGCAATTTCTTCATGACTAGTCGTTTTTCACAGAATTGACTTGAATTTTAAAAAAATAAAAATTTCTCTTAAACACATGGGTTTTAAAGTGCGATTTCATTTCCTCAACCATGTATGTTCATGTCAGCCATTTAGAAATAAATTTCTTTGGTTTGTTTGGATTCAGTTACAGTTTATTTTATTTTTATTAGACTAACAACAGAACGAACGATGGGTTTTGGTCTGTGAAAGATTGTCAAAAAGATGATGATACAGAATCAGTGGCTAGTGACGATGCAAGAAGTGAAATTCTTGATGATTATTTAAGCGAAGCGTCAAAACCAAGCGCTGCACTGTCTGCATTGGTAGAATCAATATCTGCTCATCGTCAGGAAATCGACGTCATCAAAGCTGATCTAGAAAGAAAGGATCAGGAAAATCGAATACTCCAAGAACAGCTGGATGCTGCTAACGAGGAAATGGATAGACAACTGAACGATGATAGAAAGAAGACGGATAAACTTAAAAAAGAGCAAGAATCCGATAAACGTAAACAAGAGCAAGAATTGAATAAACTTATTCAAAAGATCAGCCAATTGACTGCTGAACAAAGAAGAATCGAAGCAGAGAAGGTTGACGCTCAAAAAATAGAACGAGCCATCAAAGCTGTCGACTATAAGGGTATCGAAGCAGAAGTTATACAGGATATTTTTACACCAAAATTTAGTCTCATACTCGATCATTTGAAGAAAACAAAGACTCAATTTGGCAACCAACTGATGAATAAAATACCACAAATGCGATTCGATAGAAAAACAAATGTATACATTGTAACTATTATTGGATTCCCGGAACATCATGAAACATTCAAATTGATTTTAAAACAAGCACAACAATTACTTCGTTTAAAACAAGGCGCTGTTACTTTTTATGAACGAAAATTGGATAAGATGAAAAACGGAATCCGACGTGATCTTTCGAAAGTGAAGCCCAAAACACAGCTGTGGAAACAGTACGAAAAATTATTCGTTCAATTCATTAACGAAAAGTCGATTGAATATGCAAAGATGTTCAGTGATTGCATAAGACAAAAAGCAGACTCACTAATCGAACAATGTATTTCTAACGATATGACTACGATTCGAAATGAAATTTACACCCAAACAAATAATTTCATGAAAGATAATAATATATTAATCAAAGAAGTCGACTCACTTAAACTGAAAGCACTTGAAGAATTTATCCAACAAAATATTACCAATCAACGAACTCGTCTCGAGAAAAAGCCAACACCAAACGCAATAGACACATTGGAAAAATTTATTGGAAGAGTTAGAAATACAATGAAAACGAACCCAAGATATGTTGGTCACGAAGTAAAACATTACAGTCTAATACCGGATCTGTTACAACGATTAATGTTGTATTATTGTTCTTTTAAAATACAATTACCCTTGTATGAGTCGTCGATTGAATTATTGGATAAAATTGAAAAGAATACAGTGGTAACAATTGCCACCTCGACCGGATCAGGTAAACGTGAACGTTTGTTTTGATATACTACAATTCTTTGAAATAAAAAATAGCGCTAGTTCGGCATCCCAATCATGTCGCTCAAGCATCTTTCAGTTATAGTTATATTCATCTGAAGATTATTTGATAGTACCGATATAGTTCTACATGAGGATTGAAGTGAGTTAGTGTGACAATGCGAACATCTAAATTGTTGCATCTGTATCTGCCTATGCAGTTCAGGGTTTCGAGGCAATGGTTAAAAGAGGCTGTTAGGTGATTGAATATTTCTTATCTTCAAATTTCTTCTGTCTTTCACCACATGAAATGCAAAATGCCCGCGCATCAACAATGAATGCTACCCTGTTCCTCGAAGGTTCCTTCGATATAATGTTTTCACAATTTGTCGTGAGACATTTGATTACTTTTATCTATATAAGAGGAAGATCTTACTTTTCCATGAATTTTCTACTGAATAGAATGATGAACCATCTGTAAGAGAGATTTCAGCGAGAAAAAAAACACGAAAAATGACAAAAAAATCAATTGACTCATATTTCTTTTCAAATTTCTTATCATGAATCAATAGAACAAAAGAAGAATGACTGTACGTGTTTTCTAGGTAAATCGACTTTACTACCAGGATTACTCGCTGCTGAGGGGTACGATAAAATTATTGTTACACAACCGCGGCGTCTGCCCTGTATGCTGATTTCTGAACGTGTCAATACAACAATGACAATGGTGAGCGATCCCAACTCGCAAAAATTGGCTGGTTGGGCTGTTGCTGGTGCTGAAAACAATCAAAATGCGAAAGTTATATATTTGACTGACGGTCTACTCAAAGAGCGTCTACTCCACGATGAAAATTTCATCACAAAAGACACCCAATTGAATAGATCGATCGTTTTCTTTATCGATGAAGTTCATGAACGCTCAGTTAATATTGATCATTGCTTAGCATTATTAGCACGCATATTAACACTGCACCCTGATTTAAAATCGAAAATCAAATTAATTATTTCCTCTGCTACATTAGATACATCTGTTCCAAAACTATTTCGTCAAATACCCCAAGTAACTTTTGCTGCATTTGAAATGCCACAAATGGGTACTATATATCCTGTTGCTAAAGTCGCTCGTCCAAATGAAAACATACTGAACATCGTACAAGAATTATATCAAGATCGTCGGCGATACGATCAAATTCTTTGTTTTGTTAGTTCGGTGAAGGAAGTTAACGAATGTGTTACTTTATTGAAAAAGATCACTAGTGGAGCCATTACTGCTTATCCACTTGTTCAATCACAACAAGCATCTGTTCAACAAGAGTACATCGAAACGGGCAGTGTGTTCTTTTCAACAACAGTTGCCGAAACTTCGCTGACATTTCCTCAATTGAAGTTTGTCATTGATACTGGCATGATTAATGTGCCAGTCTATGATCCACAGTCGAAGCGAACAGTCCTTAAAGTCGGACGTGCAGCAGAATCTACGATAAAACAACGTCTAGGACGATTGGGTAGAACACAGCCCGGTACTTACTATTCATTGTATAATTTTAAAGTCGAGGACCAACGATACCCAATACCACAAATATGCCAATCCGATCTGATGAACATCGAATTTTCTCTGAGAAAATCACCACTGCATAAAGGATTAGAATATATGAAAAATTTCTTACCAGATAAACCACCACAACCAAGCATTGATCATACAGTTCAGGAGCTTCGCAATTTAGGTATGTAGATAAACGTTTTTTCTCCTTTAAAATTAGAATAATCAGCTTTTACTTTTCTAATCTTTATAAAACGAGCCACACAAACTAATCGTGGGTCGTAATGATTTATAGTACGTTTTCATGTCAATATACTTAACTTAGGTACTGAGACGTTCACACGCTACATTTATCAGAACCTCAAGATAGTTGATAGTATTGTGAATGTTTTTAGCTATTTTCTAAATTTCATATTCAATGAGAGGGACGATTTTGTATATGTTAGTAGAACTTGTTATCAATTACTTAGTGAAACTTCTCCATCGTATTACTCGTCTGAAAAAATATATATTAGATTGTTGTTGTCGCATTGCTGAAATAAATGTTAATCTGCATACGTATATATAACAGTAGTATCATTTCGTAAGGTGATATGGGCGATATTGAATTCATGGTTTTTTAGCTGCTTTCCAACTAAATCCTCTGTGATTTTATATTTTTAGGCATTTTGGAAAATGCTCCAAGCGAATCATTAACAAGTCACGGCAGAGCACTTGCCAAATTGCCAGATTTTGGTTCATTAGCAATGTCGAAATGCGTCTTAGCTGCACTAAAAGAATATAATTGTGGACGTGATCTCATAGTTCTTTCATCTATTTTAAGTGTTTTGAATACAACTACAGTGTTGAAAAGTGTACCACAACAGTTCAAAAGTGCGGATGGTGATTTTATGACATTGCTAAATGTGATGGATCAGATTTTACTTGTCAAGAAATCGGTAAAATCCAATGAATTTCGCTTAGAACCTATCTGCCAATCAAAAGGTTTGACTGGCATTCAACATATTATAAAGCAAGCGTTGAGACGCCAAATAAGTTTAGAAAAATCATTTAATTTATCACCAGACTTTCGTACACAAGCGCAGGTTAAATCGAACGATTGGGAATTAATTGCTAAATCATTATTAGTCGGATATTACACAAATGTGTTTGCATCGACGAAAGAACTGAAAGATAGACATGATCTTTTTGTTCGGTATAATGACTCGATCGATAGTGATATTGCCAGTTTGGATTCACAATCTGTTCTAGCTCGAACAGTGAACAAAACTCCTCCGGCTTTAGTTATAGCTCGAGATATTCGTTATTCGACATCAGTGCGTTCAAAGGCTATTCTTTCGTTTGTTGGCGAAATAAAACCTGACTGGGTTGAATATCAAGTTACACGTAACTTACAGTTGAATAGCGAAGAAGAAACACGGCTAAACACTAACAATTTGTTTAAAAATGCTGTATCGAAATTTTCGCACAGAATTTCAATGGCTTTGAATAATACAACCAAGTCTGCTAAGCTATCGGGTCCAGCAGGGACTGTTTTCAATGGCGAATTACATCTTCGACAAAATATGGAGGAAGAATTTCAATTTCAACTAGACTGTACAAATCCACTAAGTCCAGCAAAACGTACGAATTTAACCCGCAATTTAGAAAGTATAATGAAAATGCCGTATATATTTAAACCAATGCAATGGCGCTGGGAAAATCAAAAGCAAGTGACAATAACAATTAACTGCAATTCGTCAACGAAGACTTGTGATGTGACAGTGAAAGGAAGAAATTTAGAATATAAAAATGTGAAAAAAGAATTTGATTCATTTTTGAAATGGTTACAAGACTGTGCCGTCATTCGGCACCCTAATTCAGGTGAGTAAACGATTACTTTGTGTAGCTATTGATAATAGTGATTATTCGTGAGATTTCTTGAGTTTTCGTGGTGAAACTTTAATATCTACTGAAATAAACTCGTGAATGAAGTTGGAAGCGATCTGTGAACGATTTAATCGATAAAAAGGAATCGAAAAGAATACGAACGTCATGATAAATTAACTTAATATATTCAATTTTTTCAGTCACGAGCTAATCCACTGTCGAGTGTCTTTCAGCTTAAAACTTTAGAAACTTTCCACTTGTAAAACAGATACGCAGCATCAAATAGCTTCGTAGCAGATCTTGCAATGGGCTTACACATCTAGAATTGATAAACAAAGATCGCTATCATTCAGATTCTTATTCATAATTACAGCTAATCAAGTATGTTGCAAATTTTAATCTCTCAGGAATTATAATGACTTATTTTTCAAAGCAATATTGACTGAAGTGATAGTCTTCGATAGCTTATTTAATTATTTGTAATTCTTAAACAAGGCCGCCGATACTGCAGATATAATTAGGGCTAGCATTGAAACGAAAGAGAAAATATAATCGTGGCCGACGAATTATTAAATCATGTGTAATAAAATATCTAAATGACTTGCATAGAGTTTTTATGGTGAAAGAATATTAAAGAAAACAAACTTTGCTTAATCCATTTTAGGTGTTCCTCCACGTGTTTTTCGTCCTCAAGTACGATCAAAATATCTTGATATCGAAGAACGAATAGCGCGTATTACCGACAGTAAACGAACGACTGTTGATTTATACAACGGTGCAAAAGGGACGAAGGCAACGCGTGAAACACGAATGGAAGTTGTAGCTTGGATAGCTGTTTGTTTGTTTTCGTGTAAACTGGAGGGTGGTTTTGTACGTGATTGGGTTATTGGCAACTATACGGCACGACCAGCGGGTCTTACAGGAAACCCGAAAGCATGGATTTCGTATACCAATGGGGTACCTTATTTGAACAGAGAAGTCGTCCCAGCTGATTTAGACTGTCATTTACCAACACATGCTTATTTCGACATTGATAGATTTCACGATGAACTATACAAGTATGATATTACATGTAAAGTATCTCGGCAAGATTGGCGCTATGTTTTGCTAATTGATGAAGATGCCCCAACGGGTCCATTTACAATGGATTTGATTGAACCACATGTCGCATTAACTCATGATCGTATTGACTTTGATGTGAATGATTTATCATTAGAAAAAGACTACACACACGAAATAGGAATGCGTGTTGATATTCAGCAAAGACCATATTTAATTGAAATCGAAGCGATAGTTGATAATATCAAAAATAAACGCTTTCAAGTACTACGTCCGATAGATAATTTTCTTACTGAGCGCATTGACAAGATGATAAATATTCGACATTGGACACAGATGGGAGAACCATTTTCAGTTGTACCAAATCCAAATCCAAAATATTCTGCCGTTCTTGTAACATTACCACCACCATCAAAGCTTTATCGAGATTTACAGACAGAGATGCAAAAAATCGGTAGCGTTACAATCGTGTCCATTGAACAGGTGAAAAATCCTCTATTAGAGGATACATACGAATCAATGAAAAAGTTAATCGCTAAGCAATGCAAAGGTTCCAATCCAAACGAACGGTCACTTTTCCATGGTACAAAAGGAGAAGGTATCGATGGCATCAGAGATGATGGTTTCGACGATCGGTATTTCAGTCCAACTGGCAATTGGGGTACGTGCTATATGAATGATGATCATATTCATGCATTTTTTTTATTAAAATACTACTAATCATATGTTAGTTGTAAATCCCAAGCAGTATTAAATACTAGTATAGAAAACATTTCACATCAGCTATAACTGATTCCTTATCAGTAAATGAATTGAATGACATTCATTAGGCGTATTTTGTGAAACACGATCTGAAAGGAGTGTTGAAGTGTTTAGGGTAGCAATTTTGCACCCACCCAAAAAATAAAACCTAGATAAAACACTGGTATCATCGCCCTCTATTAACTCTGTGTACAGGAGTGACANTTTGGCCCCCTCCCCCCCCCCCCCCCCCCCCACCACATACCGTTACCGACAGGTAATCATCTGTCGGTAGCGGTCTGCGATGGGTAAATTTTGCCCATTGCAGATCATTACACTGAGGTGATTTATCCATCACAGAGCGTTACAGAGGTGCTTTGTCGAAATCGAACAGAAAGCAATATTGAGGTGTTTAGGATACACAGTTGGATTCCTTCCACATATATTTTAATTGATGAATTCTCTAAATACGGCCTAATTAGTTAATTACCTATAACAGACCCTAACAGATAGGCGTTGGTTTATTACGAATAGTTATTTTACACGAATGCATTATATTAAAGAATTAAGATCTCCTGAGAAACAAAGAGTTGTATAGAAGCCTGAAAATTTTACTTTAGAATAAGTACTAATCAAGGCCGTTTTCTGGCTCAGATTTCAAAATTTCTATTCGATCTCCCATGCATCCATATTTAGAAACTAAATTCACATGTAAGCATCTAGAATAAGATGTAACTGTCAGAAATAAAATGCTTATTTAACGATTATGACCACAGTGAAGTTCATATTCTGCTAGAATATAAGAATTTTTTATCAAACGGATTACATATGAATATTTCAAGTCTTTGGGGTATAGCATGTTTGAAAACAGTACAAATCGACAAAGATTTATTGATTAGAGCTCGTCGTAACCTACGTATCATAGCTCCTAGAATGAAAGCTGATCACATTTGAGGATACAAAGCTTTATATAAAAGAATTTTTGAGTATTTAGGTCATGGTGCATACTTCGCTGATGATCCTAAAAAGTCTCATGGTTATACGGCTGCAGATACAACAGACCAAACGCATGTCATGTATTATTGCAAAGTTGTGCTAGGCGTGGAGTCAAAACAAACAGCAACTAATCAACAGTTAGTATCGGCACCGAAGGATACTCATTCAGTCGTAGGAACATTGGGTGGTTTCACCGAATATATTGTTTATCGTTATGGTCAAGCTTTGCCCTACATGAAAATAACCTATAAAGGGTAAAGTAACATATTCAATTTGATAAAACCTTTACTTCAACGAAATGCTTTTTTTTATTATGCTTTTACTGGAAAACAAATTTCTTTTTCAAGTGTGTTTTGCCAAATAAATCTTGATTTTAATCGAATAATTTCTATAGTAAAATCCTATTTGTTGAGTACTTTAATCGATATGAATATGAAGCGCTTAACATAAAACCTGTCACTCCTGTACACAGAGTTAATAGAGGGCGATGATACCAGTGTTTTATCTAGGTTTTATTTTTTGGGTGGGCGGTTGAAATTTTTGGAGGAGCTGCTGGCTAGAAGATTTGTTATCATATAGTAACGGGTGGCCCTTAAAGAATGGTGGTCTCATTATTTACTCAATATCGTTTTTGCTCTTCATTGATTTGAACTGAACATTTTCCCAAAAGATTGAGCATTCAATTCTCTACAAACTCGCGTGTAAAAGATTTTTTAAACTACAAAATGGCTAAGTACTAAAACGAAGAAAAAAGGTCGAAAAATCTCCAACTTTCAAGCACTAAATCCGTTTTTTTTTGAAAATTTGCGTTCCATGTGTGGATCTACAAAACAAAACTCAGTCTACCATACCATGTTAAAGAGCATCAGATTTTGGGCAAGATTCATGTCTTCGAATTTTTTTTTTCATTACAAAATGAGTAAAATATTCTGGATCAATTTTTTCGCTTTTTCTAAAAAACACAACTGTCATGTCATGCTTTTGATGCTTGCACTAGAACGCATGTCATTCACTTAAAAAGTGTTATTTTTTGACGATTTTGTTTTCTTTGAAAGCCAACATACTCGACTACACCCCTGTATACTTGTTCCAGTGATGCAAAGTTTCGTTTGCGGTAGACTTTCTTGTAAACCGAAATTAAGGTGTTATGGACGAGTTTTTAGAAAATATCGATTTAATAGGCGAAGACCACTTTTAAAGAAATGTTTCTCAAAGATATCGAAAAGAGCGTACTTGAAAATACCAGAAAATGTTTCTCCCTTAAGTTAAGTCTGCGTATAAATTATCGAAACATACTCCAAGTGTTAATGTTTGTTGAGCTTGAAAGTTGAAGATTTTTTAACCTTTTTTCTTCGTTTTAGTACTTGGCCGTTTTGTAGTTTTAAAAAATCTTTTACACATGAGCTTGTAGAGAATTGAATTCTCAATCTTTTGGGAAAATGTTCAGTTCAAATCAATGAAGGGCAAAAACGATATTGAGTAAATAATGAAACCACCATTCTTTATGAGCCACCCGTTACTTTTATGAAATCAACTGTTTATTTTCGGGTGGGCGGTGCCTACCAGGGGTCGCAACGGGCCGCCCGGCCCGGACCGTTGGTAAATTTTCACCGGGCCGGGCGGACCGGTGAAAATTTGCTGCCGGTCCGGGCGAGCCACGTATTTCTTCGGTCCACCCGAACCGGCTTGTTTTATTTTTTTTCTTATGAATCGAACATAACTGGTGCGTCAGCATAAATGGCGGTCTCAATATTTCTTCAATATTCCTTTCAGCTTTCATAGTTTCGGGCTGACTTTTATACCAAAAGATTCAGCCTTGAATGCTCTACAAAACCATAAAAAATGAATCACATGGAGATAGAAGCAAAGCAATTATTGTAGTAATACTTCTAACAAACATCGACATCAACTTTAAAGAACTTGTATTCAAATTAATTTGCGTTTTTTCTTGCTAGTGAAACACTTTTAGAAAGCTTCAAAGTAATATTTCTGATGCGATGATGAGTGCACTATATAATGAAACATACGAAAGAATATTTCAACGGAAAAATATTGGCAAAGCATTCAGTTTTTGGTCATTTAGTCACCCTCTGGCATATTCCGGCATTTTATTTGAATCTAGTCGCTAGGAAGTGATACTTCTGCAGAATTAAGGTATAATTCCATGATATTCCATAATGCCAGTCTGTACCTTTCACCAAAAAATAGTACTTGGTCGACTAATATGAATTTTTCAAGAAAACAGAAAATTATTGGTAAAAACGCGTTTTTTAGAAAATTTAAAGAAAAAGTAATACTTATTTTATCCAGCATCTTTTGATTATGAAATTATTTCAGTATACTAATAAGATAGACCTTTTGAAGCTCTACACAATCGGCAGTTCAATTTGCCTCTATAGCTCGATATGAGAACACATAAATACAAGAAGTTGTAGTTCGTGCTCTAAAGTTGTTGATGTTACTTGTTTTGAGTATTACTGTCATAATATTTTTGTTTCTATCTCCATACGATTGATTTTTTTTATGATTTTGTAGAGCATTCAAGGCTGAATCTTTGGGTAAAAAAGTCAGTCCGAAACTATGAAAGCTGAAAGGAATATTGAAGAAAAACTGAGACCGCCATTTTTGCCGATGCATCCGTTACTTATGATATTTTTTGTTATCATATGAATTATGTGATCTTATGAAATTTATTAAGAAATCACAGTCATACTGTGTACGCGTAGGTAACTTTTTCTAAATACTGCATTAAGTTTCAATCTTATTAATCTCAAATATGATTAAAAGATAGTTCATCGGATTATGTCGGTCCAGACAAATCAACGGGTCGGGTCGGACCGGACCGTTGTGATTAATGTGTCGGTCCGGGCGGGCCCACCTAGCTGACGGGTCGGGTCGGTCCATGAAAAGTTGAACCGTTGCGACCCCTGGTGCCCACCCTGCCCATACGGTAGATAAATCACTGGATGATACATACTGACGCTAAACTAATAAATCAATATTTTTTATCCATAGGCAAGTATACATTAATGAAAAATTCTCTCGTCCCATCAGCCTAAGGCTTTTCTGTCTTGAAAAAAGATTCCATAATATTTCTGTTTGGGATCCATTCGATTTTCGATTAAAAATGTGAACTTTTGACACAATTATTCCAAGCAATAATCAACGCAATGATTCATTCACAGGAATATTTTTCAATCCAAAAATATGTGCTATATTATCAACTATAATTATGTGCAAAAAGCGTGGTCAAGAGACCTGATCAATGGAGAAAGTTCTAAAGAGGTAATCCATCGACCTTCGGACCACGTTTATACTCTGTTCATTTCTTCTACTTATTATTTAATATATGTTGAGTAATAACAGGAATGTGACATCAAAGGCGAGTAATAATAAAGATAATCGATTGGGCTTCACACTTGCATGGTAAATTTAGCTATAATTTACTAGTGCATGAAGTGGCTGATTTTTTTATTGTTCTATTGATATTAATTTCGATATTTTAGATAAGTTCATATCATTGGTTTCGTTCAGCTGCTTTAGTTTTAGACGTTTTACTAAGTTTAAAATATGGAAATTCTTGCTTATTTTGAGCCAGATAGAACTATGATGTATCGTTAATCTTAATTAGAATTTTTTTGCAATAACCATGTCAGCACTTTAGATAACATTTAATTGTTAATGATACCATATTTCTCTAGATAATAATATAATACAGCAGTAAGTAATTAAATAAAAGCTGGAAAAACTAGAGCAATAAACATTTCGAGTAAAATGGTGAAATATCTCAAAACAAAATGTAATAACTTCTAGAAATAGTTTTTCTAAGACATTTCTTGCTAAACAAAAATTTTGAAAAATCCTGCCCCTTGTAGATCAGTCCTATTAATCCGATAAGAATCTCAGTTTTTTGCAAGCGTTAATATGAGCCGTCAAAATTCAGCGTGCATTACAAAGTAAAAAGAAGTGTAAAATATCCGACGTGCAACTCCATTTATCACAGAAAACAATCGATTTGATCAAGGCATCATTGATCGTTCAATAAAATGAATCGCATTGGTAAAGATAAATTCTAGTATTAAATTTAACCAATTCAGTGTGTGATTCATCTCCGTGCGTGCATGGAAAGTTACATAGTCTTGGTAACAAAACAAACAAATAAATAATGTAAAACATCTTCTAGCCCATAGGACAACAAATTTGCTTTTGAACAATTCTGACTGAACAAAATTCATTCGTTCTATTCAACTACTGCTTAAAAAACTGTTGATGGCCTTCAATATGTAGTTTAATCAACTGAAACCTTTTTGGCAGTAAAACAATTTTGTATAATATTACTTTTTGATCCAATAAAAATCACGATGTGTTGAAATTTCAAGTCAGATTGCGTAATAACTTTTCGACTTCTATAAATGCTTGAAATAGTCGAGTCATTTTTGTTGTAATACTGGTTCATTCTCAACGTGCATGTAATAAATTTATAGAATGGTAAATGTTCCGAAGCCTCGTCGGACTTTTTGTAAAGGTAAAGCATGTCGAAAACATACTTTACACAAAGTGTCACAATATAAGAAGATGAACGAAGGTCAAAATAAACCAATATTTTGAAAGAAAGCTAAAGTAACAAGAAAAATTGTGCTACGATTAGAATGCAGTGAATGCCTTCATAAACGTCATTTGGCTATGAAACGTGCCAGACATTTTGAATTGGATGGAGAAAAGAAAAAACGAAATGAAGTTGACCAATGGTAATTGTCGTTGTTTTTTTACTGCATTTGAAACTTTCGATCAACATGAATCTTATTGGCGGAGGTGACAACGATAAAAATCTTTGATACAATAATCATTGCATGCATAGATTCTGACAGCTAAATATCATTGAAATGAATTTTATTTATATTCCTACAAAAAAATCTATAATGAATAGTATTGATGTACGGAAAAAAATACAATGCAATCGAACAAAATGATCAATTTTCATAATAGGAAATTTAACGTTGATATCACGAAGCAAATGTATGTTATCAAAAAGCTATAGATGAGATAGTATTGAGTAATCGAATATCGATAGTATGTCCAACTGTTGATAGAATACAATCAAGTGCATTGATAGAAATATGAATGGGAAGCATTATTGGTTCTTTTCTATTCACCTTCACATTTTCCCTATAAGCATCGTGGCAAATATGGCATCTATCTATACCAAGGTCTCTATATAGCCATAGGCAAATATCGATTTATGCAAAGATTTCCATCAGGAATATCCCCGGGTGGCTAAAATTGGTCATTGTGGACGAATTCAAGAGTAGGATGAGAGATTTTTACTATTAACAAAAGAAAACTAATTATTTTTTCTGGTGAAAAACAAAAGTTTTCGTAGCTCGTCTCATTGCTCCCTCGCTCAGAACGATGCTGGTTCTGAGTTTTTTTCTTGAAGATTTTCTAGATGTTCCAAAAATATAAAATCTATGAAGATAACTTTAATTAATTCTGTTGTTTTAAATATGTTTATCTGTGCATAAGAAGATTTATTGAAGACAATTGCTGATGGTGAAATGCATATGAATAATCGGAGTGCCATAATAAAAGAAACACACGCATACCCACACTCACACAATCAAAATCAACAAAAAGAAAACAATTAAATGAATAAACAAGAAATTAGGGAAATAATGATGTTTCTTTCTTTCTTTATAGTCTAGACTACAAACATATACTGAGGAAAAATGAAAAATGCTCATGACTATAGCAAGTGTATTGAGCGAATAAATGATTAATCTATTTCACCGAGTTTGGCTTGTTTATTGTACCGTGAAAAGATAAAAGAAAGAAAAACTTTAAAGATCGGTAAAATTTTGTTGTTGCGATCGCTGAGATATATTATATGGATTTGGACTAGGATTATTGCTGTTTCGTTGATTGAAACCATTGTATGAATATGATTGATTCTGTGGCGTGAGTCGTTGACGGAAATTGTCATTACCATCATTGTTCATTGGTGTGTGTGATTGACGTTGATCTTGAATTTTCGATGGATAATCTTGACTTTTCCATTTCGAAAGAAGACTTTCAGACGGATAATTGAAATTATTATTATTATTAGTAGTAGTAGTTTGTGATTGATTAGGAGAAAATATAAATTGAGGATTATTTGGTGGAGACCAAGGTTGAGATGCACTTCGTGTATGTGATTCAGCAATGCCTAAATGTATTTTAAATTTTTATATTTTATATATGCATACTCATCAATAGTTACCTTCACGAATACTTGGCTCAATATTAAGATTCAGCGGTTTTCGTGCATCAATACTTCCACGTGGTGATAGGTCTAATCAATAAAGAATCTAACGAATTTCAATTTAAAAAGACAAAAATTCTTACTCTCTGCATGCCAAGTACCAAATCCTTTTGGTTTAGCATTAAAATCTCCATAGCGGGGCATTGGTGGTGTCGGTGTAGGCGACATAACTGGCTCAGGAAAGGCTGAACCAGAAGTAGGATTGAATGTCGGCCGTATCGGTGAAAAACTTGGTCCTTCACTGTCGGACCATGATGGTGCACGTTGACCCCATGGTTTACTTGTTGACTAGAGAAATGATTATCAATAGGATAACAGAATAGAACAATGATTTGTATTATCAATACTAACCCCAATAAAATTTAGTGTTGGTTGATAGCCTTGCTTTTTAACATTATTCTCATCGATAACCCATTTTTCCGAACGAGCTTTACGTTTTTGGAATAATGCTGCACCTTTACTTCGACTTTGATTTAAATCAGCAACAAGACTCATCGCAGCTTGCGGCGGAACATTGGTATGTGTTACATGTTCCTGGGAAAAAGAACATGATTATATAATGATTCGATAATCCATCGATGGAAATCTCTTACCTGCATATGAATTTGTTTAAATTCTTCCGGTGCACCAACATATCGTAATGGATTTATATATTGAGCTTCATCTAAACTGTGTCTAATACAATCGGGCACATCAGCTGAATTGTAATTCGGCTGTTGTTGATGCGAATATAATGAGCCATTGGTTTGTAATGGACGTAACGGTCGATAATTAGCTGTATCAGATTCAATAGTAAATTTTTCTACTCGTTGACGTTGCTTTTCAAATTTAGTGGAGCCTTTTTGGGTCGGATCACCACCTTCAAGAATCGATGCTATTTGACGAGCCATTCGTTTTTGTTCTTCAATAGTTGGATACGTGTTAAACGGAGTTTTAAAGAAGGTTGAATCAGCATAACGCTTCTCTAAAAGAATTTTATTTGTTAGAATAATTAGTCATTCAGAAAGAAAACAAAAGAACTTACTATTAACAATAGGTGATTTATATAATTCAGCACCGATTTCATGGTCGATTATAGATGTTTGAGGCGGCAAGTTAATTTTAGGCGGTGGATGGAATCGAGCAGCCATCGCTTGTTGTTGTTGTTGTTGTTGTTGCTTTTGCTGTTGATATAATTGTCGTTGTAATTGCTCTTGTCTTTCACGTTCTCGTTGTTCGCGCTCTTGCCTTTCACGTTCGCGTTCTTGTCTTTCACGTTCTCGTTCTCGTTCTAGACGTTGCTGTTCTTGTTGATAACGATATACGTCAAAAATTTGCTGTTGTGGCATTGGCTGTTCGGGTGGTACATATTGATCATATGCTTTACTTGTTATTGAACGAATCGGTAAAACAACGTTACTTGGTCGCCGAGTTGTACTTGCTTGTCGACTAATTTTATAATAACGTGGACCAGATGTAACATATTCTGAATCACTAAAATAATTTTGATCGTTGTTTGCTGACAGTTTTGAATTGTATGAGGGTGTAAGATAGGCTTGTTGATTAATAGCAGAATGTCGATTACTGTTTGATGCTCCATTCATAGGACGAACAGATATTGATGAACGACGAAGATCATTGGTATCAGATAAATAGCCGCTGGCAATTGTTCCATTGTAATTACGTGGTGTATCATAAGTATTATTTGATGTTGACGGACGATAATTGTTAAATTGTTGTACTCGTGCCGTCGCTATTGGTGTTGGTGGTGAATTAGTTGTTATAGTTGCTGTACGAAATATAGCTGGTGATGGAGTTCCCATTGAACGACCGTAAGAATCGGCATAATACTGATCGCCGCCATTCATCACGTTAGCTGCATTGAAATAGTTAGCACCTGTTGTTGATGCGTACGATGGATAGGTTGGCGTATTACGTGCTGATGTATATTGACGGTAATCCATTTGCCTTGGTTGAGGCGTTAACCGTTGTATTGGGCGTACAGGACTGCTTTCTCTTGTGTCTATACTCGAACCTGAATCAAGTCGTAAACCCCGAGTACTTGTTGCACTAAAGTAAGATAAATAAATATTTTCTCAGCCTTTCTTTTTTTTTTCGGGAAATATTTTTCTCAATTATACCCTTGTACTTCAATAACCAATTGATCACGGACAGTATCAATAATATCGTTTATTTCACGTAATGAATGTTGTAATGCAGGTACACTGTTCACTGAAATAACTGTATCACCCGCTGCAAGACCTCCAAATGATGCCTTGCTTCGACTTCGAACCTAGAAAATTTATTTTGAAAAAAAAATTTATTTAATAGTTTTTGCTATTTCGAAAGAAAAAATACCTTAGCAATATAAATGGGCGTTTGGCCACCACCCAAAAGTCGAAAACCCCAAGGAGCTCCACCTCGTAAAACAACGGTTTTCTGGTCACCTAACATATTTGTCTCTTCTATTCGCTGACACAAACCAAGAACATTGAAATTCTCAAGTTCATATTGCTTTCTTTTTTTTGTTTCAGATCGATCTCAACTACACATTTTGTTATGCCAGCCGAGATGTTCTTTTCTCAAGCGCATTTAACAACATGATGTATGTGTAATATCGAGGAAAAAAGAAAAGATAACGACAAGGAAATTGGAGAATATCCTAATGAGAAAACATTTGACCAGCTATCATAAGCATTCGGTCAAAGAGGAAGAAAACACTCTTCAATTAGAATATACTTCTGATCTCTTCGCCTGATATGTCTAACGTATTGTAAGAAAGAAAGAAAGAAAGAAAGAAAGAAAGAAGAAAAGAGGATTCTTTTTTCCGTTGATTGTGACCTATACGCGTACGTGTATCGACAAATGGGAAATACAAACTAATTTTTCTTCGTTTTCTTTCTCTCTGTTATCCATGTGTGTGTGTATATACATAGCTGAGTCTGGATGATATTTGCAGATGGGAGAATATATTCTTGTCTATGAGTTTGCGTATCAATCGTGAAAAGCGGAGGAGAAAAATAGCGAATTTATCATAACAATAGAGATTCTAGTGCTTTTTCTCTCTCTCTCTCTCTCTCTCTCTGTATCTCCGTCTGTCGGTTTCTATCGTTGCGCTCCTATGTAACGTATGCGGTTATGATTGAGGATGCCATCCATTTAGGCTTATCGTAAAGCAGTCGTTCTTCCACGACAAAGAGTACATATCTTTTTTGTTCTTCAACAAGCATATGTAAGCAACTCTTTTGTATTAAATATATATAGATATATATTTATCTATAAACGAGCATAAAAGAAAACTACAATGATTCTATCAGTCAGACATGATGTGACAGAAAAAGCCTATCCATATAATATGACCGTATATATTTCGCTATTGTTATTGTCATTCAATGACGTCCATATATTCATTAATATCATACTGGTATGATGAGTGTTAGATAAATTGATTTAACCTCACTAGTTTTTGCTGCACTGCACTGCAAAGAAAAGAATACGTTGCTGTAAGGTATGCTAATCATTTTAGAACATCAAAAAGGAAAAGTAGTAGACCAACAACTCAAGTAGACTTTTCTTTTCTTACGAATATCTACGCAATTATCATTCTAATATGAGAAGAAGAAGAAGACAAATAACTTACCGTATAAAGCGAAAACTAAACAAGCTTTCGCCACTTAACTAAACAAGAAGATATTATTGTTAATATTCTTCTTTGTTCTCGTTAATGTTCTTAAAACAAATTTGATGAAAAACTACGAGATTGGTATGAAATGATAATCGACGCGTTTATGACGTCAATCTAAATGCTCAGATTGATACGAGTTGATGACACCATACACCAGCAACTCGTCTACTTTCTGATCAGTACTGAAACTTTCTCTCTATGTGCTTATGTACGCCTACGTGTCGGGTAGAAAAAAAAAAGAAGAACAAGAACAAGAAGGATGGATTGAGAGACTAATAATTGTGTCCATAGGATCGACGATAATGACAACAGTTCCTTCACATAATGAGAAGAAAAAAAGACATTCCACATTGCGCCTACTGTCGTGTAAGAAGTATCACCAGCCCTTATAGCTTTTCTAATTTGTCAAAGTTCGTCGAAAGATTTGCGCGAGTGTCCTATTCTCAGACAGCAAGTATTCACATATAGATAAAAAGTAAAATATCCAATCAAAGCTGAATGTAGTTATATATATATATATATGTGGATATGGATATTTGCTAACAGCATGAAGAAACCAAACGACCAAGGAAAGAAAACATTACTTCGTATAGTTACCGATAGAACCTTGATCTCGATCAGAAAGAAGCTAAACAATAATAGACGGCGGATGACAAGAACATTGAAGAAAAGTTCTTGTTCATGCAATGATTATTTACTGTATATGTCATTTCTGTTTATTCCATCATTGTGGATCAAGGCATTAGCAAATTAACACGAAATTGATGCTTAACAACTGGCAGATATAATTGTTCGATTAGCTTATTTCTCTAATTTAAAGAAAACACTTTCATCGAATTTCAACTTTATCAGGAAATATAATTTTCGAACCAAACGCACAGTTTATAAGACGAATGCAAGTCATTCACTGCTAGATATTCTTAGAAGAAATCGATTCTTAGCCAAATCAATGGGAAAGATGTTCTTCAAAATTAGATAATACAAATGTAAAGGAAATCTTCATTCTGAATAATCGTAGCAACATGCGACATGACTAGAGAAGACAACATGTGGCCAATACATGTATATATAGCTCTGTAGACACAGTAGGGGCTTGTATGCCGCAGCTTGTGGTCTCCAGTCTCGTTTTTAATGCATGTTGAGCTTGTAAAAAAAGAACATTGATCATTCGAGAATAGTTTTACAATGTATGAACGAAATTCGTACGAAGCTTTAGTCTTTAGATCAGTAGAATAGCAATTAGCCGCTTCGAATAATCTCTTTGTCAAGAACAACATTTACAATGACATGCTTCATATCCCACACGAGGAATCGATTAATTAGTTAGTACTAGTATTATTAATTATTATTGTATCTGATATGTATATATTATGATTATTTTTACATTCGAAAAAAAAAATTAGTAGCAATCAAATAACTTAAAGTCGAAGTATTTCAACAGAACAACGAATACCGTTAAATATTTAATCATAATTACCATAGCTATGGGGTCAAAGTACGTTCGTGTTTTTTTTTATGAAATTTTAAAATAAACTTTTAAGAAAAGAACGAACTATTTATTCTAGGGAGCATTTTGAATAATCTTTTATTGATTTGATTTCAACAGACTAATGCTCTCAATTAAATGAATTGACTTTTTCGTCCAGAATATCAATATGAAAGATTTTATAGCTTCTTTCTTTTCTGTGACTATTTTGTGTTGGATAAAAAAAAGGTTTTGAAGTCGCATGAAATCGGTGAAGCAATATTTTTCATTTCTTCAACAAATAAACAATAAATCTGGTGTGTGAAACGGCAATTTTTTTTACTCTATTTGCATCTCTGCGACGACGTTGCATTGGGTTTTTATTTTCACCGAATGTCTCAACCTTGTACTAATTCTACATGTAAACTGGAATCTTGTGCTTTATGTCATTGTTGTCAACAAAACGTGTGTATAGCTCATCTCAATGAGCACGCTGAATTTCTCCAATATCAGTTGAATCCTCTTGCCGATAGTATCAATTCACTTAAAAATCGATTTCAAACATTGCATATTCACGAAACGGTACGCGATTATCATCAGAAACTTGAACAATGGCGTCTAGATTGTTACCGAGAGGTCGATCATTTATTTCAAGAAAAATCTCAAGAACTCGATCAAATTGCAGCCGATCTATTAGATAAACAACGAGATCAAATTACTCACATGCATTCGGAAGTATCGAAACTTATTCAAAGTAAAGAAATAACTCAAAAAAATATTGAATCCTATACATCGAGTATTGCGCAACTAAATGATGATCTGAAAACTAATGAATATACAAATATTCATCTCCACATATCTCCTTTGATAATCAATGACACTCTGATTTCTCTTAGAAAAGCCAAAAGGAAAGAAATCCATTTAAATACTCTATCATCTATCTACAAAGAAACAAAATATCCGCCTGGAAGTTATTGTCCAATGGCTTGTAACGGTCGATTGTTGTTGATACATCAAGCGCCAAATTTATGTTTTATGGACATAGAATCCGTCATAGTCAAACAAATTCTATGGTCGCATGGCGCTATTCGAGATATTTGTTGGTCATCAACATTAAATAAATTTATTGTCATTGAAGAAAACAATATCTTTTTTATCAGTGATACTACCGTGTCCGTTGAAAGCGTTGAAACAATTGAGAAACGTAGATGGTTTTCATGCACTTGTTCGGATACGCGTCTATTTTTAACGACAGGAGTAAGAGGTTCGTCTATTGTGGAATTTCATTTGTCTACTTTGATTACTGCTATAAAAGAATGGAAATCTCCTAATACATGCTCAAAAGATGAATTTATAAATGGTATCGTTTACAAAAATGATATCATTGCGCTAATGATTAAGAATAAAATCGGAAAAACTGTACGGTTAGAATTACGATCTTGTGAGAAACTCAATCATATTTGGTCACTTTTACTTAATCTTATGTGCAATCAAAATATAGCTTTTCGGTTTTGTTCTCTAAACTATGATGAATGGTTAGTAGCTGATCATGAGACTGGGCATTTATTACATATTACAAATGATGGAAAATTAAAGACAACTATTTCGTACAAAGCAGTGCCTTACTATATCTGTTTATTTGATTCAGACATGCTTGTTGTGTCGGCTGCAAAGGCAGTTAACTTTCATAAAATATGATCTGCATACATAGTTCCACGAAAATTTCTATGTGCTGCATATTTTATGTTAGGTAAATAATAATAATAAATCTTGAGATAACAGATATTGCCGGTTTTTATTTTTTTTCAAAAAAACAATTTTCTAAATAAACTCTCAAAGTTTCACTCTTAATTTTTACAGGAATTATACGTAAACTGGACTTGAGCTGTCTGTTGTAGGCAAAGAGGAGAAGTAAGGTAAACCATAATCTACGAAATTTACTCTTTATTGATGGAAAAAATTGAAAATTTTCAATTATTGGGGATTTCACACTCCCCACCCCATCCCCACTCCCGTGATCCCTGCGTGCACAGGCCTACTTTTGCACTCTCGCCTAAATACTATTTTTGAATAGGAAATGAAATTTTACATCTCATAAGAAACAATGGAGAGTCAATGCAACGATGGGAACGATTCTGAACAAGAAAAATATTGCCAACCGTGCTGATGTTTCTGATTCAGAATGATTTTGTAAGAGTCATCTCACGAGTTGTACAGAATCAGCATTTTAATCATCAGCATTTGACGAACTCTTTCTAGCTTTCGTATAGATGTCGCCATTAAACAGCTTATTTGTTAATAATTGCGATAAAGAAATTCAATTACTTTAAAGATACAACACAAGACAAGTTTTAACATAATCCCTAAAGAATAATTACGTGAAAAAGCACAACTAATATTTTTTTGACATTTCATTGGATTATCAATCAATCCAATTATCGATTTCCAGAAAGTGCGGCTCTTAATTGAATTGACGTGTGCAAACGATGACATGCAATTATTTTACAATTAAAAATTATGTTGTTCTTTCCATTTATCTTCTCGATTCTGTCTTTCATTCCATTAACAAATACAATCTTAGATGATGATATTCTTTATGATATTAAATGGCATCCAGAATCAAATTCAGTACGTATTGTAATCATTCAGGAAAAAACCAAATTGATTTTAACCCATAATTTATAGTTAATTGAACCAAAAAATGATTTCATTATTACGTCAAAACGCAAAGAAAAATATTCATGTGTATTGCCGACCTTTCAAACAACAGATAAAGTAAAGAGTAATTAGAAATTTCTATCTGAAGTTCACTTTTCAACGGTTTCGTTTGCTTTCAGAAATCAGCAGAAAATATTTTATTGAGTGAAATCGAACCACTCATAGAAAAACTATATTCCAGAAAGCTATGTACTTATCGAGTAAGTGTTTAGAATAGTATATCAAATAATAAATATACTTATTTACACATCTAGTTTGATCCATATTGGACATATGAATTATGTCATGGGAAGCACATTCGACAATATCACGAAAGTAAAGTCGACGATAAGGTAGGATCGATTCATTTTATTTTATATTCAAGAAAATTTGTTTATGTTTATATAGAGAACAATCGTTCAAGAATATTTTCTTGGCTACCATCATTCCGATAATCAAGATATTATTACAAATACTGATCATCAACAAATATTAAAGGTAGAAAAAAAAAACTTTTTTTTTCATTTTCTGCATAATTAATGAAAATAGATTCACTATAAAACTATTAACAATCAAATAATACCTATGTTGCCTGTTCGATATTCCGAGGGAACACTATGCGATATTAATTCTAATAAACCCCGTGAAACAATAGTTTTCTATGGTAAAATTTTGTTTAATATCTATTCTTAAACTTCAAATTTTTTTTTTATTTAGTTTGTCACGAAAGAGGTAATAATGGTATCATTAGTTTTCAAGAAATCTCGTCATGCCAGTATGAAATGACAATTGCTACATCATGGATGTGTGATCTACCAGAATTCAGGTTTGTAGTTTCAAACCTCTATTTTTAATTAGGGTTTAAAGACAGTATATGAGTTTCTTATGGAAAAAAAGCCTTCACGTGAAGCTAGGGGTGTCAATTTACAGTTTATTTAATTTAAATTTAATTCTATCAAGTTAAATTTAATTTAAATTTAATTTTTGAAAATTTATTTCTCGATTTAATAAATTTTTAAAATTTAAATGTGACACCCCTACGTGAAGCTCTCCGGGAAAAAGAATTCGATAATAGTTGACTATCGGTAAGTATGGATGTAGAGATTCATAGTGAAAGCGTTGAATTGTTGATATCTATTGACAAGAAAGATGTACAAAAACAGTCTCCGAAGTACAGGGAAGTAGGTCTGTGAGTTACAGATGCAATAAAAAAATACCAATATTGAAGAAGCATTCCAAATGTGAGGTAAATAAATTCACAGATATAGTGAGTGTAAGTCATAAGTCAATATTTAATGGCTTCTCATTCAGTAGCAAAAGCGGCCAAAAACCGATAAACATATTCAATTATAAAACTCGTAGGATAGCAAAGAAATTGTATTAGAAAAGTATAACATAAATTTGTTTAGCCCAGAGGATTTAAATCGGCATGCAATCAATTGTTTCCCACAAGATAATGCTCCTCAAAAACCAAGAAATTTAAAACGACTTGAATCCGAACATGAATCATCATTAACTACAGGCGAAGGTGGACAATTTACTGTACGTATTTTTTCTCCTTGCAATATTAGCCTCTACTGGTTCAAACTTTATTCATCTAGATGACAAGTGCCGATGGAACAACATTAGTTATTACATATAGATACGTAAATGAAGACGAAGTTAAGGATCTAACAAAAGCAATCAATAGTGATGTAGCCAATGAAGCAACAACATCAAATCCTGCTATTAATGATCAGCCGTTACCTACGAAAGCGATCGTTGAATTTCTCGAAGGCTTTTTTTCCGGTCGAAATTGTTTAACGGGTGGTTCAGGTTGGTGGCGATATGAAATTTGTTATGGAAAACATGTTATTCAATTTCATGTAAATTATATACGTACTTTCTCAATAGCATAAAATGTCTACTTCCTTTTTTTTCTTTTCAAGGAAGAACAAAATAAGCGAACTGAAATTCTACTAGGCACATGGGATTATCATAAACATGTTGAATGGATCAATACAAATCCTAAAAAGCAATCCGATGGCAAAACTAAAGAACGACAGTATGAATCTAGTTAAGGTTATTTACCTTCAGTTTTATCCTTTGAAATATTCAGGTATGCATCATTGTATTATGGAAATGGAGATCAATGTGAAGTTGCAAAGAAGCCGCGCGTTGTTGAAGTTAAACTAAAGTAAGAAGAAAAATAGTTTGTGCTTTACTGAAGATTTTTTTTCTTAAGATGCTCAACAAGAAACAATAGATCTCATGTTCCAACGATATATCTTGTTGAACCAGAAAGTTGTTCGTATGTTCTTGGAGTATGTAGATAAAACTTGGAGAGAAAAAGATAATTCGTTGAACTATTTTTGTTTTTGATTAGGTTGAATCGTCAGTATTTTGCAATATAATTGATTATACCGATGAAAATGGTATTCCTGATTTGGAAAAAGTTATGAAACATTTTGAAGAATCATAAAATATATTCTGTGATATCAATTACTTATTTATTGGTATCTAATTTTTTTAAATAAAACAAAAAATAGACGCATTAAAGATTGTTTTTTTTTGACAAGCGTTATGACTGTAATATTAAAGATTGCATCTATTGATCAAGGTTCTATTTATTTGGAAAATAAAATGAATTAGTAAATGTTTGTTTGACCTTTTTAAGCTTTGCCAATCAAATGGTTATAGGTGATTTTTGAATCAGCCAGCAATTGTAAAAAAATAGAGTGTGCATGTACGATTTCTTTTTAAGAATTTGGATGCTGGTTTTTACAGAAATAATTTATTCTTAAAGATGATCGATAATCAGAAATTTGCTCGGTTTCAATTCAAATCAAGCTTTTGTGTCTAGAATGATACTCGAAGTGTGCGTGTTCGTTTTCTTTTTTTTTCTAGCTGGAATCGATGGTATTGATTGACTCGTATTTCTACAAACATTTTCCTATGGGGCTATATGAGTAAATCAAGCATAATATTATCGACTGAAATCTGAACCGAAATTGTACCTTCAATAATAGCTATCTGCAATAAAAAAAATACCGTATAATCCACTTTGGCGCGCATCTATGAGAGAAAATACGATAATGTCGCTTCAAAGAGATTCTATAGTTCTGTGTTGACTTCTACAAAAACTATTGATCATGCAGAGACTCTCGCTCTTCTGCGCGAAAAGACAACCTTTTCACCTTCTTTATTAACAAATTTTATGCGAATTCTCTTGACTATCGAGTCGTTGCAAAGAACTACAAAATAAAAGAAGCACGTCCGTCTCTTTTCTATTAGCAAAAGAAAGCGATACGTTAATTTAGCAATTGGCGAAAGAAAACATGTTCATTATTTTGTGTAAAAAATAAATGTAAATTGTCTTTCTCGATCATTATAGATATGTCAAATTTAAATCGAAAATATAAGAAAGAATCTTGTCGAACGCTATTAGGTTTTCTTCGATGTCTTGCTGGACAACGAACACAAATTGATATTTACGGTGGTATTATGCTTGTCGGTGTACTTGTTGACATTGATGTTAACCATAACATTCAATTATCACAAGTAACAATGTCTCGGCCACTACAACGACCAATATCCTTTACTCGTTTATGCATTCGATATTCAAATGTTCGTTATATTCGTGTCCCCGACGAAATCGATGTCATCGAAACCATTCGACAAGATCTGAGAAAGATGAATCCAAAACCAAGTGAAATCTTCGGTGGAGGACAGAAGAAAATGCACGTGAGAAAAGGAAGAGAATACGAAAAGAATTTACCACCACTTAGACCTGATAATTATCATTATTGATTTTTTTTCTACTATTTTTTATTATTATTATGAGAATAAACTAACATGGTTGGAACTTTTAATATGTTAAGAATTTCAACAAGAGCTATTGATTATTTCATGGCGTGCCCAACTATTGCAAACTGTGTTCTCCGACTGCATATACATCTCTTCGACACGCAAGAGTAGATTTTGTTGTTTTCACAAAAACAAAAGGAGAGCAATCTTTTCGAAAGAAGAATTTTTCGAGTAAATACTTCAGTACATGCCATAAAATGAAAAATCGGCTCAGTATCTATGGATTCATTGAAAATTTTGTTCATTCGTTTACGTATACAAATCCTTGGTGAAGAATGAATCTCCGTTACAAATATCATGAAAAACTGGCAAAATATTGGATTTAACATTGTTATACTGTTTGAGGGTGAAATTTTGTCGCTTAATAAAAACAAGAAACTAGTCCACTAGCAGTATTTTCTTCGTCGCGATCGAATCTGATTTGCATCCATGAGATATATAAAGTTAGCAAAGCAAAGAGACCTTTTTCTGGTAGATAATCGATACTGATCGAATTTGACGTCTCGATGTAACAATCGACTGAGGCATATCATAGACATTTTGAAATTTATGCCATCGACGGATAAGTTCACCTGCATTCTTAGTTGCGAAAACAGAAGTCGCAGCAGACAACGATCGCTTAACTCGTGAGAAATAGCAACATCATGAATAGTTAGAGTAAGATCGCGGTCAATGTTTTGAATACTCGGTGTAATCATATGATATTGAGCCGAAAAAGGCCACTGAAATCTGTTTCAGAACTGAATTGCGACGGATCGAGTAGTATGCTGAAGTTTGCAAATGTGTTGAGCCACGTTATCTGCATTCAAATGTTTCAGTGTTAGACTCATAGAATTTACTTTTTAGGAATTTCAACCAGTGAGTGTGAAGAATATATGTTTTTTGCACGCAAAGCAATGCTACATCTCTATAAATACAAAAAGTCTTCCGTCTGTAAAATATTAAAAATTATTCTGAAATTTAACAAATAATACAAGTGAAAATATAATAGACGAAAGTTTGCATGGGTTCAGCCGATGTAGGTTCTTCATTTCCTTCTCATTTTTTCGACGCAAAAAAAGACAAGCACTTTACTCTTCACTGTACCGAGTTCGTGGATATCAACTGAAAAGGTAAAACTATTTCGGTATTAGATGTCGTATCATTCGTTCAAAAATACACCTTCCTAGAGCTCGAAAGTCTTGAACGTCACATCTATTGGACTATTTCTCGCTTGGTTCCGAGACTCGGTACACTGATTTGATTCAGTATCTGGTTTTTGTTGGATACAGAAACCCTATGGAAAGTTTCTCAAGAATTTCATAATGAATTCTTTATGACTAAAAAACGCTGATTTTTGAACATAGCTTTTTGATCTTCCAATTTTTTCTGCCATTACTATCGAATTCTTTTTCGAAAATTTGATTAAAACGAAATGATTACATTTTACTACATGCACCAGCCATCATCTTGATTTTACTGTAATACCAGGTCTCTCGTGAATATAAGTAGAATGCTGCGTAGACAAATAAGATTCGATATTTAATGTTGGTCAATTATTTTCATGTTATCCAATTGAAATTTGACACTTTTTAAACTTTTTAATCGTTAAATCAAACATAAAGGCAAATAAAAAGCGGCAAAATATACCACGCCAGAGAAAGAAAATAGGTAATTAGGAATCGCAAAGCAATTTTAAGCTATTGACTTATAAAGCAGAACGTGCTGGTTTTGAAAATTTTGAGCTACCACTCATATCAGTTGTCTTTGCTCGCATTTCGAATACTCCAATTGTCACGCTGTTTATATGTAAAAACAAAAATATACGAAAACGTCTTGTCGAATATCACCTCATTTTCTTGAATGACCTCATTTAGATCTAATAATATCCAGGATCAATCATTGCTTTTCTCTTTATACTAGTGACAGCATTTACATTAAAGTATGCAAGAAAATCTTCATATTAATACTCGGATTGTTGTCGAGTATCTACCAGTGTACAAATCGGCAACGATTTTTACCATGGGAGCTTTGTAATTTTCATTCAAACAGACAATAATTTTAGAACGTAGATCGCCAAAGTGATGCTACCTAGAAATCTCGAACTGAATCGATCCAATTCATTTTTCTATCTCGTCTCTCAACTCGCCATAATACTATTGTTTCACACATAAGAAAATATAACAAGAGAGCATAATTCACCATTAGCACGAGGGACTATTTCACATGTCACTCAAAACTATTTACTATCCTAATTTCTAAAACAAAATGAATACAGAATATCCACCAATGTACGTTTTGCTGTTTTTAATCATCTTCCGCTTTTCCTTCATTCAAATCAGAACGATCATCAGCCACTTGTTCCACTTGTAAACAACGTTCGCCTTTTACGACGACCCAATATTTGTTTACGTCTGACTTTCGTTCAGAACTTGACATTCCATTTTCAATTTCAAGCGCCATGCGCGCTCGTTCGAGATGCCTTTTTTTACGAAGAGAAAGGAAAATCATAACAAATTAAAGCGAAATTAATAAACTATACCATAACTTTCTTGCACTTTTTTTCACATCAGCATATGTATCGCCCATCATAGCAATCAGCAGATTTAATAAAAGAATAGTGATAACCACAATATGGAAGATAAGCAATATAACACTGGGCAATGGATGCTGTCCTTCGATATAATAATCTAAATCGAACTCACCCAATAAGCACAAAAAACATTGTTTGATACTGGATAAAAAGCCTCCAAAGCCTAAAATATAAATTAAAGTATCAATGATATAAACTCGTATAGTTGTTTTTTCATGAATCAAATGATCTGAACTTTAAAATCATTTACCATTTTCATTGAATAGAATGAAGAATGCTTGTGAGAAGCCAGTGAGGAAGATTGTATAAATAATACAGAAACGAAGGACATCATTGAACAACATTTTATAGATCATAATAACAAATGGGCCAGTAAATCGAAATGGCATAGTAAAAAAAAACATATAACCCCATCCAACGAGAGAAGTAAACGCAAGAACGAGAGATTCATATTCCGGCAGTTTAGATAGACGAAGAATTTGAGCAGAGAAAATACCAAGGCAAAATGTCGATGCCAGAAGATTTTCAAGAAAAATAGATCCCTAAAAACGAAGATAATGAATTGAATACCAAGGATGACTCCATGACACACTCACTGTTGTGCTCACGTAATTCTTGAAACCCATACTACACATTTCACCTATTTCACGCGCACTTTTCAATATGGCACCCGTTACAACAATCGCATGGCCTATCGTACATACGATACGGCGAATCATCTCCGAATGTTCGTCATTAGTTGCTAATTTTTCAACGTTTTCATCTATTTTCTAAACAAAAATATTAATGAGTAAAACCGAATGTTTTCTTTAGTTACCACATCAGAGCGCGTTTGTTCTAAAATTGTAGTGCCAAGAAAAACAAGTAGATATAGAAACGCAATAAGAAATCGTCTTATAAGTATACGATAAGCGAAATGTTTCCACTTTTTTTCCGTTAAAGATGTAATAATAGGATCTACTAATGCTGAATTATTTTTTCTAACCATTACTTCAAGGACACTTAGAGATCGTTTTTTGTTCTACAATAAGTCAATCAAAAAAAAATAATGATTGTAAGTCAAAATACAAAACGAAGTGTTCATTGACATACTTTTTCGTGAAAACCAAGATCAAGCTGGTCGAGAGGATGTAATACACATGAAACATTTCCAAATGACCATTGAATTGTGGTACGTTCTTGCAATAGCCACGATAACATTTTTGCTCGACCTAGATCAGCCGCTAGAGTCAATGGTGTTAAACCATCTTTATTTAAACGATTCCATAATTTTGGCAACTCTGATGTTTCTGACGTGATAATTATTTTCTTGTGCTTCGCTGCGTGTCGTTCTATCCAACGTGCTTTGAATTTAGTATACATATTCGGTAGATTGCAAACAACAAGCATATGTAGCACTGTATTATCATTGCTATCCATCTACATAAAAATAGATATGAATCAAGTCCCTATAGTTTTCAGCCAGTGCTTTATGAGGAGGGAAAAAATATGTTTTTGTCCTATCTCGATTAAGTTCCCAATAAGAGAGTTGACGTTTACTGACCGAATCCATATCTGCTCCATGCTTGAGAAGAATTTCAACCATATCCCATTGATTGGTGCAACAAGCGAACCCTAATGGTGTTTCACCATAATAAGATGGTTGATCTCTAGATAAACGAAATATGAAAGAAATGACACAAGAAAACAAGAACAAACAAGTAACTTACATTTTAAAGAAGTCACCTGTAGCTCTAGCTGCTAATAGTCCATGTTTGTAAGGTTCCAAACTTGCATGGCTAAGTAACCAGTCCACCATATTTGCTTCACGTTTAACAATAGCAAGATGAAGAATGTTTTCACCATAATAGTTCTAATTAAGTAACGTCATGGATTCAAAGTTAAAAAAAATAAGTAAAATATATATTTACTGGTTTATTGTAAATTTGTGTGGCGATGAGTGGAAATCGTATAAGAAGATCTCGTGCAATGTCGAGATGTGCTTCTGTTCCATATAGAAATAGCATATGAATGGGGCATTCACCCACGGCTCCTCTCGTGTCAACAACATTCGGATCACGATGAATCAATTCATCAATAGCAACCTTGTCTGCATTAAATATGGCTGTCCATATCGTATTTTCTTTGTACATAAGTTCAGTTTGTTCTTCCACTACTGACCTATTGTAATGTACACAATATTTTTTCGCCTGAAAAAACATGTTATTTAACAGAACGACGATGCAGTTAAAGGATTCCGTTTGTCATTGAGTGACTGTAATTTTGACAGTGTGCATTAATCGCAATGGTTTTTTTCGCGTTCTATAGTAATACAATAATAGCTATGCATATGTCGCGGTTTCATATCTTTCTCGTCGACTCAATAAAAATACATGTTTGCTCAGCTGCAAATTGCGTGTAGCGTTAAACGACGTTTGATTGAGGCAGTTCGTATTTTGGAATTTTGCGCTCTTGTTTTGCATGTCAAACCTTGACGTGATAGATATATGTAATGAAGCATGAAAAAATCGTTGCCGTGTGGGTATTTGCTTTCGCAAAACGTGTTTTATCTCTATTACCTACGAGGGAAATTTTCCTGAAGTTAAGAATAATGATAACCGTGTCTGAAGATATCGTAAATATTTATTAATAACTGCCGCAAGTATATGTAGGCACTTAAAGTATTTCAGTACGCTGTAACTATTGAGTATATCAAGTGAGCGATGTGACTGATCGATACCTCCTGGCCTCTGCAGGATATCTAACAAGTTTGGTTTGATGTAGAATTTTATTTTCTATCGAAGAGTGCTAATTTGAATATGAACACACACCCTAGAAATATGTTTCATCGTAGGGTTTACACGAGAATTTCAGTAAAAACAGAAGAAAGCTTTTCTAATTCTAAAACTTTGGTAACAGAGAAAAAATCGTTTCAATTAAATAATCATTTTCAAACTGACTCATATTAAAAACAATTTATATAAAATATATGCATATAATTACTTTTGCTATAGTAATAAAATACGGAGCAAAACATGTTATGTTTCTATGAATCATATTGCCACCAATCTTCGTTTTATTATTCATGTTTCAGTAGCATAAAAATATCGAATAGTTGGTTATGCTCCAATAATTTATTTTATTCTTTTGAAAATATTTATGAATTTCTATTTTTGTATTTAAACTATATAATCCGGTATTTATTCATTCTCACTGTTAGACATTGGGCAATTAGTAAACATGAGTTGCGTCGAAACTTATTTTAGAATCGTCACTTCCCGGACCTCTTGTTCTTCTAAATGAATACTTTCAAAAAAAAAGTTTTAAAAAAAAAGACTAAATATATGATTTTCAATGTCAACAGTATTTCTAATCAAAAAAATAAAATAACAGAAACTTTTTTCCAATCTGAACTCAAGTCCAAATTTGCCTGTCATACATTTATCAACATTCCAGAGACTTGTGTCACCTTGTCTCAAAGAGATATTTGTTTTTGCCATTTTTCATTGGTACCAGGATGTTTTATGTCAAAAAATATATATTCTATATTTTAGCATTGACAAAAATTTTCCAACCGAAAGTCGTCCAATGGAGCTCACTACAGTTGTGAGTTAAATAGAAAAACATTATTATGCAATACCACATGTATATTCACCATTCATAACTTGGTTTTCACAGGATAAAAAACACATATTCGCGACACAAATTTATACAAACGAAAAAGGATTTTTGCTTTAGTAAATTAATTAATGTTCCATACTGAAGACAAAGGTTTCCAAAAGCGAAGTTCAACGAATGGATTATTTTTGATGATCATAATTACTCCTTATCAGCTTCATCCTCTTTTAGATAACCAAGAGCGTAGGTTACATCTTCAACTTGTAAATAACGTTCACCTTGTATATCGACCCAATATTTGTTTACGTCTGACTTTCGTTCAGAGCTTGACATTCCATTTTCAACTTCAAGCGCCATGCGCGCTCGTTCGAGATGCCTTTTTTTACGAAGAGAAAGGAAAATCATAACAAATTAAAGCGAAATTAATAAACTATACCATAACTTTCT